CCAACATCTTGCAAAAGTGAACAGTTGCTTACAGCGTATAGGGCTTCCATAAGCTCTTCGATTAGTTTGCTGTGATTTGACTCTCCTTTCTCTATCATTAATAGAAACAAACAAAAAAAAAAAAAAGGGGAAAAAAAAAAGAAGAAAAGAAGCATGAGAAAGAGAGCAGTGACTTCGGGGTCTTGCTCTGGTGTTTGGGCAGATGGAAAGGAGCTGGTGAACAGTTGCTTACAGCGTATAGGGCTTCCATAAGCTCTTCGATTAGTTTGCTGTGATTTGACTCTCCTTTCTCTATCATTAATAGAAACAAACAAAAAAAAAAAAAAGGGGAAAAAAAAAAGAAGAAAAGAAGCATGAGAAAGAGAGCAGTGACTTCGGGGTCTTGCTCTGGTGTTTGGGCAGATGGAAAGGAGCTGCTCTGCCTTGGGGCAGGGTGGTTGTAATGAAGTGGCCTGTCAGTCTGTAAATAGTGAGGGTCATCTCTTCCATGTGATGGAGGGTATCACATTGCAGTGAAAATGGAAATGTCAATAAAATTAATCTGCCAGCTCTTTGCTGTGGCTTTTTCTGTCTCTCCGGTCCAAAAGGGTTGGTTTTGCAGAGGGGAGGCAGGGGAAGAGGGGTGATCTGGCACGGGAGGGAAGATGGAGATGGAATGCAAGTTTTGAAGCAAATGGACTGTATGTAGCAGCAACGTATTTCGTTTAGCAGCACTACAGAGCTAGACAAGGCTATAGGAATTAGCTCGTGAATCTATAGCATTCCTCAGGAAGCTATGGAGCGTCTAGCTCAGGCTACATTGAGCACAGAGTTTATTGTTTTAGGCTTTCTTGGACAAGGTTTTTACTTAGCATGGGATTTATGGCATTTACTGCTAATGAATGTCTATTCTTAAATTACAAAAACCACCGTCTCAGCACAATTCCCAGATGTCCTTCCAGGACCTCGGCTTCTTAAACACCAGCAGGGAGCATAAACTCTCCACTTCTCTGTTTTCCTCTTTCGTGTGGCTCCGGGCTAATGATGTGTAAGGAAAACACAGCAATCTATAAAGTCTCAGTGCTGTCCCAGTATTCTTCATTTATTTTGCATTTGATTATGCCACAAGTCGGATCTTGTTTCTTTCCTTTTTTTAAAGTTATTAGTTCAAATATTAATGTAGGAATATGGCATATATTGCTGCTCTTGATTGATGCCTTCCCAAAAACAGGAAGACGTGCTCGTATGAATTTTAAGAAAGTAGGGGTCCTGCAATGCCTTGCCAGAAGAGTTTTTCAGATACATAATTTAGATGCCCTCCAGGCAGGCTTTCAAGGCATTTTTGCTGGAGGGCAAGAAAAAATAACTATGACTGTTAAAAGTAAATGATTTTTGCTAATGCACAATTAATGCCAGGGAAAAGCACAGAAGAGAAAGATGTTGATGGAAAGTTCTGATTAAGTGAGAGCTCTACCTTGATGTGCATCTTTTTTTTTTAATGATAATAATCACTGATGCAGAGATGTAGAAGTTTTCATGTCATGCAAATGCTGTGTGCAGGGTCATACTAGGTGTACGTGTTTGTGCGTGCGTGTGTGTTGGGAGGTGATGGTTATGGGGAGGGGCTCATCTGACAGTGTGTTATGTGCACTGAACAGTGACACGGTTACTGCCACCTCTGCAGAGGGCCTCGAATATATAGACTACAGAACATTTAACTTGATTACTTATAGTACGTATTCAGAATGGTTGTAGGGATGCATTTACAGTGAATGGGTTTTCTTGTGGCAGGTTTTCCCACATTGAATCTCATAATTGACAAAGAGCTATTGCACTATGTCAAGCACACAATTATAATTGAATTAATGATATATGCATGTGTGAAACGCAAAATTAGTATTTGGAGAGACATGGTTTCTAATTTTTACATATTTGTATCAGCATTCGTATATAATGAGAGACTGTAGATGCCTGATCTAGCAAATCAAAATAAAACTGTGGTAGTGTCTTGGTAATTAACGATACTTTTTGCTTTCTGTACTTTGTTCATTCAATGTCGTTTTCTTCCTGTTTTCCTCTTTGTTGTAGGAGATGGTTTAGACAACAGTGTAGCCTCACCTGGTACAGGGGATGACGACGACCCGGACAAGGACAAAAAGCGTCAGAAGAAAAGAGGCATTTTCCCCAAAGTAGCAACAAATATCATGAGAGCGTGGCTTTTCCAGCATCTCACAGTAAGTGGTGCCCAAAACCAAAATAGATTTCTATTCATGTGCCTAATGAGGTTTATTCATTGTTATTAGAAATCAATTGTCCCCATAATTTTTGGATCATTATTAGGGCTCAATTATTGTTGCTTTTCTTTTTTCTTTTTGTCTTCTAGATTTTTTTTCTTGGCTCTTGGAATCATGACAAATCTAAAAGAAACCTATATATATACATATATATATATACACACGTACATGCTGAGAGAGAGAGAGAGTACAAAGCCTTAGCACAGAACAACACCCACATATAAAGTAACCATTTTTTGCTTTGAACTATTCAAAATGTTCCTAAGGACAAAAAAGGGGGGTTCTTGGTTTAGCATATGTAAAGGTCAGCTTTCTGGATTCTTTATTGCTGGTCTCTGTGTACACAAACTTCATATATGTGTGGTGGAAGAGAGAGCCCTGGTCTGTGTGTGCAGATATATGTTGGGGGATGTTCGAGAAGTCAAAGTGGCAGCTGGCAAACTTGTATGTTACTTTTGGTGAAACGTATAGAAAGCTTACAGGTTCCCCAATTCTCCAGTCACATAACTGTGAGAAAAAGCACCTTTTTAGTTTCTCTTCAAGTCCATTATGTTAAAAGCTAGCCATATTCACATTTGGGGGAGAGAGATTAAATGAGTGAAAAAGCAGTGCTTTCCATGGGCTATCTTTATCCTCCTGCTTGCAATTGGCTTTATGTGTTGGTGTTCTGTTGACTATTATAGCTTCACTTAGGCATCAAAACACGGTTCCACAGAAAACCTAGTAACACTCTTTGCAGTTTACTTCATGTGGGAAATAATGGAAACTGGTAAAATTATCAATTGATTTTCCTCTTCTTCTCACTGTAAAATTGTTTCTTACTTGATAAGGCTTAAAATGCTAACTGTTATTAACTACCTCTTCTTCTACCAAAGTTTTATAAATTTCCATGGTAGCTGATGTTGGTTACAGTGTAATGATTTCAGGACAAGGTACCCGATTTATTTATGATAGGGACTATCGAACTGCTCCGCTGGCAGCACAGCTAAAGGGGGGAGTGATAGATCCACATTTCTAAACCATCATTTTGATGTAAGGACATTAGTAGCAAACTAAGGTGCATTGATCTGGCCTGTGGGGTCAGGATTAGCTGGAATAGCCAGTGTCTCTGCCGGAGTAGTGGTTATTCCTGCCTCCCAGCTATGGCCATTTCAAAGGTCAGGTGCCCTGTACCCACTTGGCTCAGAGGAATTAGACAGAACATGAGTCTCTGGGCTGATTACTTAACCAAAGACAAAATAATGAGTCCTAAGCAAATACTGACTAATTGAAAGGGCTGTAAATCCATTACATATTGGTCAGGGATAATCAGGAGTATTTAATCACTTTTATCTATTCAGGAGCACTGAAGCTGCAACAGCAAAGCCCTGAACCTTGCCATGTGCTTATTATTCTCATCATTATCAAAATTACTTCACAGCTGTTCTTTGCTACATCACCTCAGCTGGAGATTTACTAACCTGTAAAATGTTTTTAATTTGGAAGTTGAGTGAGTGTGAGTGGAGGGTTTTTCATTTAGCTGTAGGGTATCTTTAGAGGAGCAGTACAAGCAGACAGCAAAAAGCAGGGCTACAAATAAACCAGTTGGGTTTGTACATGTCTCCGTGTTAACTCCATTTCCTCTTATGAAATTTGTGATATCTTGGTGGTTTTTTTTTTCTCCCTACCTTCCTTTCTCACGTGCTCCTTGAAAGCATTCGACACATGCTTATTAAACAATCAACTGCCTCTTGCTTCTCTTGAGGAAAGTCTGCCCGGCTTTTTGAAATCCCTTTTCCTTGTTTCCATCCCCGCTCTCCTGACGCTCTCCATCCTGCATGAATTGAGGAAATTCGCCATCACTGGTGAGGATGGCCTTGCAAAAATCAAATTAAATGAACACAAAAAAGCCCCAAACCTTTTACCATCCAAGCTTTAATGAGTTTGCAGGTGTTGAAAGATTTACTGTGCTGTAATTCTCAGACCTGCAAACTGATAATGGAGACCCCTGACCAGTGCAATGTAAATTCAGAAAGATTCTTGCCATAAACACATGCAGGGAAGGAAGAGAACTCCTTTCTTTTAAAGATCTCGCACTTTTCCTCGAATTAGCTTGTCCATTCAAAGTGCAATGCTGGCTGAGCCAGAAGGGGGGAATCTGTGATGTACAATTTTATCGGTTCGAGTAAATATCTTTACAATGGCAGTCCATGATTCAATGTACATTCCTTCATTACTACTCTAACCTTATTTCAAATTGGTTTGTTCCTCCTTTGTGCTGTATGACCTGTTCTTGTATTACAATAATCCCCTGATGTACCCTTTTTTCTTTCTCTCTTTTTTTTTTTTTTAAAGAAACTAATTGAATTATCTCATTATTTTAATTTGTTAAGCAAATGTATTTTACATCTCAGGATGTGTTCTTAAAGAAGGAGCTGCTTAGGCTTTGCCCCCTGAATGGGCCATTGGTACATTTTGACATTCATGCATTCATTAAGGAGAGGAACATAAAAGAGCTCTGGTTGTATTTTTTTTTCAAACACCCAACCAGCATGGAGCAACTTTTCCATAAGCCACAGGGGTCTTTCTACATATGTTCTCAACTGCAAGCCATTGTCACCTATTCTGAATACCTCAAAAGGACAAATAAAATACTAAAGGCCAACTGTAGCAATTGTTAGCTGTTGGTCTCAATATGACAAAAATCATTAACCTCTGGTTTCCCTGGAAGGAATGGCAGTGGCAGTCCATCTCTTATGGCATGGATTAAACTTGAAATTCCTTTAGACTGTCAAATTCAAAGAGGGTAACTCAGTTCTGACTAATTGTCTTTACTCATGATTTTAAATAAAATGTTATTTTTTTCCCCTTTATTCAATCAGTTTGCAAACTCCTAAGGTAGTTGATTTTAAAAATTGAATTGCCTAAGTGGTGTTCTTGAAGAGACAGGCACTTGAACTCTGATGTATCTGACAGGCTGTGTCTTTCAAAACAATTTCTAACCCCTATCACAGCTTCCATTTTGCAGTAACTTTAATTATATTTGAAACAGGATACACATGCATGTTTTTATTGTTGAAAATTAAATGCAAGGAGTAGGAGCTTCTGTCATGTTCTCCTTCACTTACCGAGCTCTGTCTTATATTTGGAATTACAACAGTACCGGAAGATGAAAGAGCTGAGGATGAATTGGTTGGAAATGCGTATGCTTTTTCTGGATAATATCCAGTGTTTAAGAAAGTAGAGGAAATCCTAGTCTGGTAGTATAAGCTTTTCAATAGTACATAAAGATTACGACATCAGAAAGGTAAACCTGACATTAAGGCTGTTTTTATTTGAGTTCAAAGGTGGTTAAAGAAAAGAAACAGCAAGAAATCTGACCCAAGCGGAGAGTTTATTCATAGCTTTGGAAGACTCCTTTTCCTCTATGCCAAGGAGTCCTTAGTACACTCAATTAGCCTCTCAGACATCTCTGCTTTCCTCCCTCAAGTGCTCCCCTATTTGCCCTGCAAAGAACGTATTTGATCACGAAGTGAAAACAGGAAGTGCTCTAATGTATAGACACCTCTAGCTTACACCATGGCTGAGATTAGGATTTCTTACCAGCGACTATACAGAGCCAGCCCCCCTCCTCCCATGCCCTTTTGAAGGATGGAGGACCTTTAAAATGTACCTACATAATCAGAGGAGAGCAAAGTTATAAAGGAAGTAATTATACCGTTCCATGGGCTTGTACCTCTGGTAGTTCATCCCTTTCTGCAGCACAGCGTATAGAGGACTACATTTCTGCTACATGCAACGTTTTTTCCCCTTTTACAGAGCTGGTAGAACAGAGACGTGTTTATAAGAATTCTTTGACACTTACCTGGAGTGATGCCCTTTGCTAAAATTCTGGTTCGGTTGTTTCTTTTGTTGCAGTCTGTAAGAAGATGTATATCTTAACTAAAAGTACCGGATACACCAATGGTAGCGTGCAAACTGAACCTTTTTTATGACAGTGCCAGATTCCAAGCTGATGGTATTTGGGATGGCTCCCCTGAAGTCAGTGGCGTTGAACTACTTTTTTTTTTTTTTTTTTTGTGTGTGTGTGTGCTTTTTGGCTAGCCTGTGTTCTGTCTCCTACCATTTGTTTGGAAATCGGGCTAAAATGACACTGTTCAATCTTCTGGCTCAAAATCTTGCTCTTTACCCAGTCTCTTGTAGAGTAGATCCTGGGTTCATCTGCTTCAGTGTCAGGCTAGAACAAGTTCAGCTGGAACCAGCCACAGCTTTTGTACGTACCTGAATTAATTTCCTAACTTGCAGTATTCAGGTGGCCAGATTGGGTAATATGAATAGTCTTACTGAAACAGTTTTTTTCTTTTTTTTTTTTCTGTATTTATGTGGGTGTATCTGAGAATATAATGTATCTCTATCATATTTTAATGAATGGCTTGCCAAGCCTTTCATACAGGGCAGCTATTTTTTATTTATTCATTAGATTTGAATGTAGACATGAATGTCATCAACCAAAGCCAATTTTGGAGCAAGCTTTCAAAACAGTTGAAACCATCCCACCTTCATAAATATATCCTCCCATATCCTGATTTTAGGAATAATTCCTAAGGGAGGGTTAGGAACATAGCGGGCTATTGCACTCCACACTGAATATCTTAGTTTCATATCAAACAGTAGAGGAACAGCTTTCCTCAGAGTCCTGGTCCAGGAGGAACATTCTTCTCCTTGCTGCTTTTGCTGTAGTTTAAAAAGCAAAAAGAAAACTGAAAATGTAACAGACCTTTGTCCAGTTAAAATGGTGACAAGAAGGCTGGGAGAGTCGAGAAAATACAAGACTGTGAAGATATTCCAGTGAATTTTAGTGCTTGTGTTAGACTGCATTTTAATGGGCTATACACTCCCAGGGTACATTGAGGAGACGGATGATGTCCTCTGACTCTCCTGTAAAGCGACCTGCGTGTGGG